AATTTCTTATAATTATAATTTATAACTTATAATTTAAATCGTATAAAATTATTACTTTAAGTTTTTAAAAAAAAGCTTGGTGGTTGTAAACTGCGTTAAACTTTTGACAATTTTTGTAATGCAAGGTTTGTCGCAATAACAAATTGTAAATAATGGAAGTAATGTCAATTTATATTATGTTTGTAGCTAATGATGTTACATTATTGGAATAATAATGTACAATGATTTAACTCACTATTAAACCATTGAAAAACTGAAGATACACGTTATTTTACAACGTTGTAATAAAAAATCATTATTGATACAAGTAAAAAACAAATTAATTAGCTACTAAGTTTTCGTAGTAGAATGGTTTGAATGAAACCGAAGAAATGTAGTCTATGAACTTCTTGTAGTGTTCAGTTTTACAGTGAGCTTCAAAATAGTCTGAATCGACCCATTGTTGGAGAATGACATAATGTGTTGTGTTCAGAGATTCTTGCATGAATGAGTAGCCAAGGCACCCTTCTTCTTTTCGTGTTTGGTTCTGCATTCGCATCATCTTCGACAAAAGCTCTCTGTCTTCGGGCATGTTGATGTGGCATTGAACAATGAATTTCATCCTTATCTGGTGGATAGTTAAGATAATTCTTCGTTTATATATGGATAATTATCTCTTGTCTGACGACGATATAACAAATTATCGAACGACATATCTTTTATTTCTATTGAACTTCAATGATTTCAAAAATGGTTTTTTAAATTTACAGAGAACCCCAAAAATACCATTACCACTAATATATAATTAAACTTTAATAAAATAAAATTAAAGTATGATATTTGTTTTTCTTAGAGCAAGGAATGGGATACTAAGAATGAATAAATAAATAACTATACATTTTAATTAAATAACAACTTTAAAAAAAAAGAAAATAAAAATCAAAGAACTTCAAAATATACTATTACGATGAGAAAAATATTTATACTCCTCTGTTTCTTTGTGTTATTGATGGCAGCCCCAGTACACATCTGTACGGACCATTTACACGCTGTTGAAGACGCAATCACAAAAACAGACGCAGATATCACAAATGACGAAGACATCGAAAAGGAAATTTTGGAAGATTTAGACAGCGCATTTTCGGATATTCGGAACTCGATATGTAAAGCGGATTTTGTGCAAACTGCGGATATGATTGACAAATTGCGTGAGAAGTTACTCCGATTGAGACAACGAAAAGCAGAACGAGTGAGAGAGTTTCAACGTATTGTGAACGCGCTTCCACCACATATTCAACACCGTCTTCTTTTCAAAAACAAATTGGAAAACAGAATGAGGATCAACCCGGACTACATTAGCGTTGCTGACGTCCCCGCAATTCCGGTCTTTGAAGGAATGCCCAATTTAGCGCCCATCATCACTAAAATAGCAGATGGGTATGTCAACGAACTCGACGATGTCGCTGGCGACCAAACGCTCATCGCTTTCCAACAAAAATACACGCAACTAAAACGACAATCGTCTGTCGCTTTTTTGAAGTCGAAAAAGGTGTTAGAAGCCATTGAAGCCGTGTTTGCATCGATTCGAGTCGGTCGAGTTTGTTCTTGATTTTGCTTATGCCTCAAATTGTTCTATGTGAATTAACGACTGATAAATAGCTTGGATATACGTCAGCTCAACCTGTGTATAAAAAGCTTCGAACTATTTTAACAAAAACTTCTGATGAAGAAAAGAAGTTGATAGAAAACATTGGCAAGTTGAGAGTCAACATTTTCAATCGCAAGAAGAATCTCCTCAAAAAGTTGTTGGCAAGTGGAAGAATTGTCCAAAAGGATGTCGTGAACTCTCGAATTGACTACTTAAAAAAGATGGCAACAGCAACTCAGGCAAACAGCAAGATGGAGAACGAGCAGCGGATTAAATCACTTTTGGAAGGCATTGACAACCAATGGAAATCACTTCAAGAATTAAAATTGAAAGAGTCCGTTGACACGAGTCTCCCCCTTGGCCCCGAGCGTAAGACCAAAGAAGAACCAATGGACGAGCCTCCAATGCAAGAGGGTGAAAGGGAATAATTTAATGTCGTTTTCTTCTGTTTGTGACTCCATGAACACTTGCGGTAAAACAAAAAGACGTAATAAACACTCAAAAAAGTCAGATGTGTCAGTATTCATTAGGGTCGAACTTAATAGCAATACATTTGGCGATTTTCTTTTCGGCCTCTTGAGTGAACGTCTCGTTGTGGCTAAAGAGGTCCTCCGTAAACCTAATTGTGATGGTCCGTGCTATTTGCTTGAACTCGTCCTTCGACTTAATGATGTGGTCGTCGTAATACGGTTGAAGCCTTTCCACCACAAATTTTGAGATGTGTGTCTTCAGTTTGTTATATTCGGCAGAGTCGTTCCGTCTCATTTCAATTTTCTGTCTGTTTGAGTATAGACCGACAAGTGGATCATAAGGCCCATCATCCTCACCATATGTGTGCGTCTTTTCAAATTTAAAAACAACGCCGCCCATCACCAGATCATTTCGTTTTTGATCTATTTCTCTCATTTCCATAGGGTACATTGTGGGTTGGAGTTGCTGAGGTGTCGAGGCGATTGGCGAGTTGTACTTTTGTTGTAAAAGTGGTTGTTGTTGAAGAGGGATTTGTTGTTGTAAAATGGGTTGTTGTGGTAATATCTGTTGTTCTATCACCACTGGGACTTGGATATGTTGTTGTTCTAAAAAGCCCAAAGGTTGTTTGGTTTGTGGAGGAGCGAGTGGTGGGACCAAATCAAGAGGTTTTTGCGTTAGGGCAGCTTGTTCAAGAGAGGGTAAAACTATTTGTTCTTTCACCTCTTTTTGTTCTTCTTGTTTCTCCTTTTTTTCGGGTTTTTCTTCTTTCACTTTTTTCTTCAGTTTTTTGTTTGTCACGTCGACGACGTCGTCACTGTCTTCTTCTTCGACTTTTGGTTTCAATTTTTTGAGACGAACATACTCCTTTCGTGA